CGAAATTTTCATTTTGACCCGAAACATTTAGTCCATGTTATCCGTGTCGATTTTTCTCGATTTCGGACGGAGAAAAATATTCGAGATTTCAGTCGCATCCTACGTTGCTGGAAGCGTAGAATCGATTCAGCACGGTCCCGACTCTCGTCGAGGCTCCCTGAGCTAAGAAATAGGCAAAAATTGGTCCAAAACTAGCTTTTCTGACCACTTTTTGTCTCTTTCTTCGGAGCATTTTCAGCGGATAACTCGTAGCGAGGGACTCGCGGAGCTATTCCGACTGGAAAATCCCACTCAGCGGGTCAATTCCAAGCGAGCTCAGATCCAAAAGGAGTCAACGTCACGAGACAATTGATAGGCTTGGAGGACAAGGCGCACATTGCGCACAAGCGACCTTATTTGGTTCCGAACCCATCGGCGAACTATCGATTTTGACGCTAATAATTTAGTCCATGTAACCCCTGTCGATTTTTCTCGATTTGAGACTGAGAAAAAAATTTCAAGATTTCAGTCGCATCCTATGTAGTCGGTGGCGTAGAATCGATTCTGCACAGTCTTGACTCTCTGCGAAGCTTCTTGAGCCGAGAAACAGTCAGAAACAGGTCAAAAACGAGCTTTTCTGACCACTTTTTGACTCTTTCTCTCGCCACCGCGCTAACCGCACTGTTTTTGACGAAATGCATTAAGTACTCATGCAGTCTTGTAGGCACTATGAGTCTCACGCCAACCGCTCTGCGGTCTGCGGCTCTGCTCTTCACGCACTGCGTTTGACGCAATGCGTGAAGTGTTCGGGGAGTCTTGTAGGCGCTAAATGTGTTTCATGCTGACTGGCGAGGCGCGCGAAGGGCTTCTCCTTTTCAACTCAAATCCTCGTCATCCTTGCTCTTTGCGTCGCGCCGCGCCGCTCCGGGCCAAACTGCGTGTTTGGTTTCTCTCTCAACTATACCAATGGAAGGCGCTGTATCTTGTATCGCTGAAAGACGAACAAATTCAACGCAAAAAATTCATTACTATATGTATACTTCAACTCTCAGGAAATGAGAGATTTTGTCGCCTTTTCTCGTTTTTAATTTTTTTTTCTGAATCCGTTTTTTTTTATACCTAAATTTGAAAATTTGCAAAATTTACCGCCCCCTAAAATTGCCGCCATGGGCCGCGGCCCATGTGACCACCCCCTAAATCCGGCCCTGGATTAGGGGCTGGGGAGGAACATTTTGACGATGAAACTCCTAAGCCACGTACATCGTTTGCGGTATTCAAAAATCTCCGCTCCCATTTTACTTTTTGGCGGAGAGCAAAGCAATTTCATTCCTTGGATTTTCCACACAGTTTTCTTCACGCAGACGAAAAATCCCGGGGTTTTAAAAAATTGACGTTGAATGGTTTTCATGGTAAAATAATGTATGACAGGAAGTCTACAACGTTGCAAACTGAGGTACGTGGCCTCGTAGTTTCACCGTCTATTTGGGTTCATTACTACGCAGATCGATTTTAATGTCAACCTGCGATAACTATGAGAGATGAACAAATTTTCACTTTGTGTGCGTCGTTTTTCCATTTTTTTAATCCATGAAATCGAAAAAAAAAAAAAAAATTATAATCCAATTTTCGTTGTTACAGAGAGGTTACTTGTTGGCAGCCCACGTTTTGCCGTTACGCATAAAATCGGCCACGTTTAATAGAGATACATCTAGTCGCTTTCAGTTTGAACCAGGTTTCAGGTTTGAAGTTTCATTTATTCATAAAACTTAGGTAATGTTAAATGTAAAGTTTAACGTGCTTTCAGGCTTATAAATGTTTTCTCGACTTTGAATTTTAGCCAGGACACGATGCAAGACTAATTGTATTAAACTACTTCAAACTCTTCTCTTTTCAAAATGCGGCATGGTAACTGGTACGTTCCTGCTGAACTTGGTCCAATTCGTTGCTCCTATGGCGTAAGGGTGTATCTCAAATTCCGCATGAGTCCCGGCACAGTGGTTTTGAAGCAAAAAAAAAAAAAAAATACGACAAAAATGTACCCAAAAATGGTTTGCTTGGGGTGAGTCCATGGTACGTGCACACTTAAAATCGCGAAAAATCAAAATCTTGGCTAGTGCTATTTTCGAAATACGCGCTTTGAAATTTTCATAGTAAATGCAACTTTTCCAGTGGTCTTGATCCACTTTTTATTTATTTGTACATTGAATCGGTGTTGATCGGTTCACGTTTTCATTTTTTGTTCGAATCAAGTCGATCGAATACATGCCCTCTCTTTAAACGCACACTTCCTCTCATACTCTTTTTTTAACCGAAAAATTCGCCTTCTGCTGCGTCTGCGGCAATTGTTGTTACGAGTATGCGGTGCGTGCTGGTTTCAGGTAGTTACATACTCGACTCTTTGAAGGCGTTTTGTGTGCGAGAGCAATTCGCCAGTTCTCCAACAGGGTACGCCACTTGCGCACATAAAACGCCTTCAGAGAGTCGAGTATGTAATGACATGAAACCAGCACGCACAACATATTCGTAACAACAATTGCTGCAGGCGCATCTGAAGGCGAATTGCTCTGGCACATAAAACGCCTTCTGAGATTCGTGTATGTAATGATCTGAAACCAGCGCGCACAACATATTCGTAACAACAATTGCCGCAGACGCAGCTAAAGACGAATTTTTCAGTTAAAAAAAAAAGGGTATGAAAGGAAGTGTGCGCGTAACGAGAGGGTATGTATGATCGACATGAATCGAACGAAAAATGAAAACGTTAACCGATAAACACCGATTCAGTGTACAAATAAATAAAAAATCGGATCAAAATCAGGGGAAAAGTTGCATTTACTATGAGAATCTCAAATCGCGTATTTCGAAAAGGAGATCAGTCAAGATTTTGATTTTTAGCAATTTTACGTGTACACGTACCATAGACTAGCCCCCTGCAAACCATTTTTGGATACAATTTTGTTGCTTTTTTTTTTAACTTTTAGATAAAAAATCTCAGCAGATTTTGAATTTTCAGCAAAAAAAAGGACGATAGCCCCTGCGCATGAGTCTAAAGAATCATTCTAAACCCAAAAATCGGCAAAATTAAGAGAAATGAAAGCAAAATAGTGTTTGGAAAAAAACCTCACATTCGATACAGAAATCGGCCAAGGGTCAATTCCAAGCGAGCTTACTTGGTTCCGACCCTATCGGCGAAATTTCCATTTTGACCCGAAAAATTTAGTCCATGTTATCCGTGTCAATTTTTCTCGATTTGGGACGGAGAAAAATATTCGAGATTTCAGTCGCATCCTACGTTGCTGGAAGCGTAGAATCGATTCAGCACGGTCCCGACTCTCGGTGAGGCTTCCTGAGCCGAGAAACAGTAAAAAACTAGTCAAAAACGACCTATTCTGACGTGCTTTTGACTCTTTCTCTGGAGCGTTTTCAGCGGCTAGCTCGAAGCACGGGACTTGCGGAGCTATTCCGACTGGAGAATCGCACTTAGCGGGTCAATTCCAAGCGAGCTTGCTTGGTTTCAGCCCGATCGGCGAACTTTCGATTTTGACCCCGAAAATTTAGTCCATGTAACCCCTGTCGATTTTCTTCGATTTTGGTCGTGGAAAAAAATTTCGAGATTACACTCGGATCCTATGAAGTTGATTGCGCTGAATCGATTAGGCATGGTCCCGAGGCTCGGCAAAGTCGCCAGTGCCGAGAAATAGTCAAAAACTGGTCAAAAACGAGTGTTTCTGGCCAGTTTTGGACTGTTTCCAGGAGTGGTTTTCCGCGGATTGCTCGAAGCGACGGACTCGCAGAGCTTTTCCGACCGGAAAAGCGCACTCAGCGGGCTATTTCCAAGCGAGCTTCCTTGGTTTCAGCCCGATCGGCGAACTTTCAATTTCGACCCGATAAATTTAGTCCATGGTACTCCTGTCGATTTTCCTCGATTTTGGTCGTGGAAAAAAATTTCGAGATAACACTCGGATCTTATGTAGTTACAGAATCGATTGCGCAGGGTCCCGAGGCTCTGCGAGGCCGCTTAAGCGGAAAATGCGGGTAATTTTTAAGAAAAACGAGTCTTTCTGACCAATTTTTACCTGTTCGACCAGTTTGGTTGGTTAAATGTTTTTTGTCGAGTTTGGTGAGGCTTTCGAGCCGAGAAGCGATGAATAACACTGATTTCTCAAGGTATTAATCTCTTGAAAAAGGATCTCTCACTTGTGTAGTTTTTAAAACTTGTGTCTTCTCAGAAAAAATCGTGGTTTTTTAAAGTATGAATTTCATGGATTAAAAATATTTTGTGCGTCCGCTTTCTAAGTCCCTTACAATTTCATGGAGATGTTGAATAGATCTTGGCCTAGTTCTGCCTATGACATAAAGGTATGTAAATATTTTATTTCAAATGTGTGTCTTTTTTATGTATGTCATGAATTGAGAAACCAACAAGTTTTGCATGGTTTAGCTGATCCATCCCAGTTTATTCAGATCGAAAAATTGGGAAAATTTTGAACCTGTTTTGAAATTTTTCAAAATGTTGATCCAATTTTTTTTTTTTGAAAAGGAACACACCATTTTCTTTTCTCAAAACATATACAGAATATTGTAGTTAGTGGAGACAAAAAATTCGCAAAGTAGCCTAAAAATTACTTTGAGTAGTTTTTATGCTTACGCACTGTTACAACTTCATATTTTGTTGGATAAAGAAGTAGAACAAGTTTTTCAGTATGAAGTCTGTAACTTTGCAAACTGATACAGTGAAAGCTCGCTAAGTCGAATGGTGTAGGGGCCGAAAAATAATTCAACTTAAGCGGCGATTCGTCTTAACCAATTCTCCTCTTAACACATGGACTTGTCTAGAAACCGAAAAACAATTCGACTTAAGCGGCATTTCCTCTTAACTGTAGTTCGACTTAGCGAGCTTTTACTGTATATGTTTTTTTACACTTTCGTTATCGATTTGATTCCGTGCGTCTGTAAAATGAATATTCATTGTGAAAAAAATGGATCATACTCTAAACGCTGTAAGAAGGAGTAAAATAAAATTACAAGAGGTTTTGTTCATTTATTTCTTTAATTCTTTTCGACATATCTGTACAGGTTGGTTTGCTTCCAATTTATTTTTCTTTCATCATCATATTTTTAATAACACAAACATAATATTTTCCATTCCTTTGCTTTCATAGATAATTGATTGACTTTTAAACCTACTGCTTAGAATGATTGGCTTAGCATCTTTACTCGAGGGATCTGGAAGCCAAACTCACAATCAATTCATATAAAAATAGTTTTGATCTAGAAAAAATGATACAGAGATTGCTTTTAATTTGTAACTATGATTACAAAGATTCAAGGATATAAGATTGATCTGATGAGTTCAGAGAACAGGTTAGCAATGCCAGCACTTATTTTGTCTTCACAGTTGCCCATGTAAGAAGATATCAACTCAAATGGTAGTATGAACATCCTACTGCCATTAAGTTAGGCTACTTTAAGTTAGGCCGCCCTAGTTAGGTCAAAAATACAACAATTTTGTTGTTTTGTCATCAAACTCTCCATCTTAGCGGTCACATAAGTATTAATTGTTAACAGACTATTCATTATCTCAATTCTGCTTACTTACTATACATCTAAAGTTCATGAAATACTATCTTGACGAGAGGTGATCAATATATATCTCAAAGAGACCTTCAATGATAAAGAATAACATTTTTTGGCAAAAAGAATATTAATTTGGATTATTAGCCTCCTGAACCTTGAGCACAAAATCGGCCGCCTCGAGGTGAAAAATGGCGTGAGAAACATTGCATGAGAACTAGCAGATGACTTTCAATTTACAAGCCTAATGGTAACCGAAAAGTGTCTGGGAAAATTTTGTAAAAAGCGTTTTTTAACTTTTATAGTTAAAAAATCTCAAACATGGCAACAAAAAATGGGGTACTATGACGCCTCAGTGCTGAAACTGAGAGATGATAAGAAGTGAACTTGAGCATATTGTATAAACACTCCTTAGTTGTGGAGAATAATAATCCAAACCTCAAAGAAGAAAAGAAAAAAAATCCAAGTGGAATGTAAATGGCGGAAAATTTGATAACAATGATCAGATGTCAATGGTCGCACAGAACAAGGCAGTGATACTAACAATGTCCTAACAGATGATAGAAAAGTGTTCATACACATAGTACAATCATTACAGTTACAAAAATTAGCATACTGATTTTGAGCAGAGGTGAAAAATTAAAAATACTTGTTTAAAAATTATTTACAAATATTCTGATGATAATAATATGTATATGCACATCTACATAGGAAAAAGAGCCACACGGATCATCACGTAAATCACAACTCTGGGCGTTTCCAGTCCTACAATTTTGATGTTAAGAGCTTCGACTGTATGCATCTGTTCATTAGCAGTCGTGTAAAAATGTTACTAGTGTTTTCATAAGTTAAAAAAATACTTTGCTTTGCAGCAATGCTTTTAAAAAAGACATTCGTTTCTTTGTCTTTTTAGATGAAAACTCAAAAAAGCATCTCTGAAATACACCACCTTTAGAATGGGATTTTCGTGATTCAGTGAGCCTCCCTCCTTAATATACAGAGCTAGCAAACACGAGAGATAAAGGATGAGGACTCCGGTTGTGCTGGAATATGAGGAGAAAAATAGGAATGCTGAATATCTCACAAAACTAAAAAAAGGAACATTTTAGAATGTAAGCAAAAACATTGCTCACTTACAGGATTAGCAGAAAATCTGATTTTGATGAACAATAGGTAAACTTTCAAAATATCCCGCGAATTGAGTCGGCACAGGAATAATATGGAAATAAATTAGTCGACGCGCCTGAGAATTTAAAGTGGGAAACTGAGTAAGCAAAAGAGTTAGTTGGAAGTGATATAGGTATACGGAAATTTTTTATTTCATTTTTGTTTGATAGAAAAATTGCTATTACATACTGCAGTATGTTTTGATTGTGTTTGAATGAAGATTTTCATATGCTAGCATTTTAGATGCATTGATAGTTGGGCTTCCTGTGCAGTAAATATAGCTTTATTTGCACTAATTTTCACTATTCACAAAAGCCAAAGATCTTTCTACTGGCATTTTGTCATGAAAAAAGGACAACAAAGTTTTTTCTTTCAGCTGAGTATTACTCATAAATTAGATGAGTTAAATTTTACTTTGGTGAAGGATTTAGCACCATTTTTTCCTTCTTCTTTCAGAGACAGAGAGAGAACTTGGTGTTTATAAGGGGCTTGAGAGTTGAAGACATCTGTTGAGATTTCAGGTGACCAAATATGGACTTGGGATATGATTGATACTTTGTACTGGAGCCAAATATTCTTTTACAGGGTATTTTATAAAATAAAAAGAGAGGAAAAATATCCTTTGCTGGATAAAATATAAAAATGGTAGCAAATACTTTTAAAATAAAAAATTGTTCAAAATAACAGGCAAATAGTGCAAGTACATTCAACTCTTAATCCTACCACTAAAATTTATTCTAACAAATTGAAATCAATCTACTTAGGACAATACAAGGAACATTTAAAATAAAAATAATCAACACTCACAATATAAAACATTTTCACAAAATAATATGTTAAAGAAAACTGATGTACATAACAGCTAGAGTTCAATAGAAACCCGAATTAGTATAGAAATGATTTTTCAGCCTAGATTTCAATCAGATTTCTTAAGAAAGAGGAGGAGAATGGGCATTGGCCGAATTAAAAATAATTGATGACAATACTAGATAAAAATGATGGCAAAATTAATAACTTTGAATTCGTGAATAGATGAACGGAAAACAAATTACATAAAAATAAAATTTACAAAAGTATAAAAAAGTTCTCAATATACCAATAACTTTACAAAACAAAAACTGGCGACAAGTACACCAACTAACTTAAAAAGGAAATGACTTTGTACAGATAAATGAAATGACTATGTAGAAACATTGGTTTGAGAATGTTATTTTTGAAAAACTGTTCGCATGAATTGACTCATCATTCTGTTTAGCGAGCCAACAAAAAACTCTTTTTGAATCAGAGATTTGATACTGGGTGGACATTCATTTGTAAAAGTTGCTTTCACGTAAAAAGACATTTGATCAATAGAGACAAGAAAAAATCAATACATTACTGTAAAAAAGATGGCTTTAGAATAAAACTGCAAAAGCTTCCCTTTCTAGTTTTACGCCTCAATTGTGTTTCGGTTGACATGGTGGATCTAGATGATGGTGATTCTTGACAGAGGAAGCAACATCACGAAATAAAGAGCTGTTCAAAAATAAAAATCTCTCTAAAACTTGAGTGTTCCTTTTTTTTACAAGAGAAAATATTTGTTCTTGATCTGTTCTTTTGCAGAAGCTTTTGCTTCCAAAATACGCAATGATGATTTGTACGACCACTAGCTATTAACTGTACAGCTTTCCTGAAGTTTAATACAATACAAATTGTGATTTTGCCCTGTTCAAAGCACAGAACAAAACCAGAGATTCCCTCTTTTCACTATAACAGTTTATATGACTGACTCGACAGGTGTTTTAACTTATGAATGAGATCCACAAAACTAAAGGAACACAATTGAGAGAGGAAAACTATGAATACTGACCGCGGTAATAGTATGGCACAGAAGTTTTTGATGTTACAGGGGAATGAAGAAAAAATATAACATAATTCAAATAAACGAAAGCAGCAACTTACTTAAGAAGGTATACGTGGCTATCACGTGCTGGTAGAACAAATATCAAAAGGGAAAAATTCAGATCCAAAAAACTATCATCAAATCAAAAAATTGATAAAATCAGTAGAAAACTGGATTATGGCTACATAAAACCACTTAATTAATTATCTGGTGAAGAAAATAAAAAAAAAAGTGATCAAGAGCAGAACAAAGCTCTCCAATATGAGCGGTTATATTTTAATAGCACTATTTGTATGATCAGAAATAATTAATTAAATTTCACTTTCCTTATTTATTTTCATAATATTTAATACACGCCGTGAATACATAATTAAAAGAACATGGCAACGAACCACACTCCGAAACCTGTTAGCTGGAATTTCGTTCTGTAACAGTCCACTGATTTTATAAGGATGGAACGAAGAAGGATGAAGTAAGGTTCCAGATCAAGAAAGTTTTCATCAAGGTAGAATTTTGATTTTCCATCTCACAACGAACAGTGTTTCATTTGATAAACAAACCATTAAACAAAAGAAGGATGGCAGAAAAAATAATGAATAAGAACAAAACTTATGGTTACCACCAATTAAGGTTATTATTTACAACTCTACAGATTATTATTGATACAGATTAGGGGTGGGTAGAGTAAATTATGTTTCCTTATGATCACTTTCTACTCTTTATATTTGGTTTGGAATCTTATTTACAAGCTTTGGGGCTGTGAAAAAAGATGAGCCTGCTCGATTGTTTGAGAGTACACTAAATAAAAGAATGAAGCCCAATTCACACTATTTAACTGTTCATCCGACAAAAGTGGACAAATATGGATAAATTGAACCCAACAAAATTTGATTCAATTGCCTTTATTATGTGTTATCCTCAAACAGATTTCGAGTATCTCAGATGCGAAGATACACTTTTGGCTAATGTCGATTAGAAGATTTAGTTTCAACTTTTTTGGCAGCGCAGATTGGATAGAAAGTTTAATGAAGAGTTGAATATGACATAAAATATGAGTTTCTGTTTACTTTATCATCAAATTGTCGTGTTTTTGTGTCTACATCACACAATCTAACTTTTTATTCTACAAAATTGAAAGATGAGTTGATTAAAAAGTTGAATACAAAGTGTGAATTGGGCTTTAAACATTCCAGAATAATAGAAAACTTCAATAAATACGACTGCATATTGTTGATCATTTTGGCGCCTTCATACTATAATAAATTTGGTTTTTATTTTACCTGAAGGTGCAACAAAATTCTGGTTAAAAGTGTCTTCTTTTCGAATAAATTGACAAAAACGTTTTCGAGGCCTAGTACATGTAAATGGTGGAGTATTGAAAAAATTAATCGGGAGGTTGCGAAATTTTTCCAACAACAACGAAAATTATAACTTGTAAATTGTCTTTTCATTAAAATTACTAAAAGTCTATTAATAAATATGGCTTCTGTAAGTTGAACTATTTTTTTTTACTTGGCGAAGACAACAGGCGCTAAATTCTATGAGCTTCAAAAGTAGCTACAAGATGATTTAGACAACACGCTGCGACTTAAAAATTTAATCAGTCAAAATTTGATTTACTTGATGATCTAGAATTCAATTTATCTAATTTGCGCACTATTTACAGTCGATTACTGAGATATCTCAGACACATTCTTTTCAAGACCCATTTATGTCGATAGGGGGTCAGTCTCTGAAATTTACTTGGTATTGCTTAGACCTTTGGTCAGGTAATCACATATCTCAACTTCTAGAGTAAATGAGGAATATCACTAAAAAATTTGAGCAATTTCAAAAGAGGAAAGAATAAAAGAATGAAAAAAAACATAACATCATTCTTAGAGATTGGTTGAAAGTTTGGATAATTCTATAATTTAAAGTTTCAAAGTGATGAAGGTGAGAGATGAGATGAAGAGGTTGGAGGTATGACATCCCAAACCAGAATCATCATTAATTATTTTTTGCCTCTGACTTTATTTCAGATTCAGGCAGGATTTTTCATTTATTCTCCTTGGAGTAAAGAAGTTTCAAAGCATAGTTTGGGTTATTTACGTAACACAGGGACTGACCCCATCAAACTAGAATCTCGAGCGAAGGGTTTATGGCTTCAGTTGAATTTCTTGATTGCATTCAAGAGACAAATGGCAAATGCACAGCTCAAAAATAATTATACAAAAACTGAGATGGTTTTAAAGGTCTAAAATAAGAAAATATTTACATAATTGATTTAGGTATTTCGTTGGTTACCTACATACTTATAAAAAATGTGTTAAACAAATATTACACTTTATAATGAGACTTAGAAATGAATTTACATGACTCGTGAGACTTAAATATAAACCACTCATTTGACTTCGGTCCAAAGTGAAAAGGACACAAAAATGTTTGACAACTTTGACTGGAACTAAAATAAGAGATTCAAAAGATATTTCAGAAAAGCTCTGAGTATCCAATTGGAGCAATGTATATCGTCTAAAGAACAGAAAAAACTATAGGTTTACTCGGAGAAATATTTCAGATCCTTCATGATTCATTAGTTTTTCAACTCAGGCATAAAACCACAAAAAAGGGTAAAATAAAAGTTTAAAACATTCTAGATATGTACATTCAAAGCAACAAATTGAATGAGATTGGGTGCACCCATATCATGGGGCATATTTTCTTACATAAGGAGGGTAACTATCATAAGCGCTCAAAATTGGAGTTGACCACCTTTTTCCCCTTGACATGGGGTCAAATCATTCTCATGAAATGTTGCTTTGATAATACATTTTACAAAAAACAAAATACCCTATGAAAGGCCATTAGCCTACAGACGTCTTGGAATTAGTAGATGGTAACGATTACTGCCGAGTTATCTTACACATATATATACACAGATGTGTACATTAGAGACGGACATGTATCTACAGAAAAATATATTCAAGGAGAGAAGATGCAAAATAACTCTGAGGAGACGGTGTGATGAGATGGGTGGAGAAAATGGGGAGATAAGTTTGGCAGTCTTTTAGTCAGTGAGTGGCGATTGAGATCGTGGAGTGGTCAGCGACTAGACTTGGAGAGAAGAGGACTGATAGAGATCGGATCAAGGTTCATCCTCGTCTTCTTCACTTTCAGCATCTTGCCCGTACATGTCGGCCAATTTGTCAAAACGAGGACCCCACGCACCAAGATAATCAAACTCTTGTTGCTCATCATCAGTCCCTACAAGGACATACAAAAATTCGTCAGTATGATCACTCACAAAAAAAATTAAAATAAATGCAAATCAAAAGAAAAAGTGCAAAAAAAATTAGATAAAGAAAAAAAAAAGAAAAATTAAGAGCAATTGACATTTTCAAATAATGAAACACTAAATCTGCAATTTTTCATCATAAACAACCCTTTGAGACACTACTGTGCTGATCAAGAGAAATTCAAACACAAATGGAGAACCAAAGACTCAAAGAAAAGGTAGGTACCATTAAAGCCTCTGGTCAATGCAGAGGGTAAAAAACATTTTTTAAGAGAATGAGATATGCAGCATGCTGTAAATTGTGATTTTGAACAAAACTTTGTTAAAATAAACCCAGCAAAAAACTTCAACTTGACTTTTAATGAGCCATAAAATTTGGAATAATTTTTAAACTTTTGAAATAATTTTCTTCAAATCACAAAACAATATGATTTAGCTACTACGTTCTGCTGACACTTCAGTTGTTTTAAATACATATTACCCTCAGGAATAGTGTGAGTCTTCTCAAAAATGTTTGAACAAAACCATAGAATATAAAGGCAATAGGCTTCTGTGACAAAACTCAGAGTTTATATTTGGCGTTCTTTCAAGAGAAACACAAGCTATACTCATTGCAGTTGTTAACCATTGAAATGGGATGCAAAGAAAAAGAATACATTTTTCAAGACAGAAGATTTCAACTCACCCGACGCAAGGGAAGAAAGTGACCCTGCTGTGCTACCTCCTCCTTCGTAGGCGTAATTCCGCAGGTCATCGAAGGGCGGTGCATTTGGATCACTATCTGCATGCTTTTTATGTTTTTCGATGAAAATACCAACATCTGGCTCTGCACCTACTGGTGGGTCTGAAATGCAAAGAGAGGCGTGGTCAATTTTTACGATTCGATTTTGATATTAAATTTACTTTTCGCTCATTAATACAAATGTAACCTCATGTCTAAATTCTGTGCAAGTTAATCCTTTCATTATCCAAGTAGCATTTTCCAACAGAAAGATCGCCATATTTGATACTAATTAGCGATGTTTTTACGATTTTTTGGCGATAAAATTGCTAGGATCATCAACATCTGAGCAATTATCTTGTCAAAATTTTATCTCTTTAAACTCAAGTTCAATAAAAACGTTTATCGCGATTTATCACAATTCTTTGTTCGATAAAATCACGATATTATTGCAATTAATCGACATCCGTAAAATTGCAATACATTCTTTGATAAAATTGCAACTCTTTGCAATCACTGCTACTTTAGATAGATTTTGAATGCACTTGTCTCACAAAAGAGATTGGTTGCCACGCAAATTAATTGGAGCGCCATCTATTAAAGAGCGTTGAAAGTTGTAGTTCATATCCTCCTCTACAGAAAAAGCTACAAATACTACTGAGGTGAGATTGTGAGTAACAGTGGAAATGTTGCAGGTAGGATGCATTTTTGCTGAAAGTTGATGCTGCGTTACTGGTAGTGAAAGAGTTAATTGTATTATTAGCTACTATTTTGTAATTAACAATTCATTGAGCAATTACTGACTCATTAAACACAGGAAATTTCAATTGCAAGAAACACTTGGACGCATTTTATCACCATACATGATAATGAGTCTCTTTGCAATAGAACTATCAAGCTGCGTTAAAAACTATGACGTAACCCCCAACTCAGTTTTAGGCAGAAATTATGCATGAATATTAGAGAGAGGAAAAAAGACTCACATAAAATTTTGGCCGGCATAGCATGTCCAACCGGGATTTGAAGCGGAGTGATGTCAAAAGCTGTCATGTCGTCCTCACCGCCTCCTTCATCATCGTAATTAATGATATTTTCTCTAACATCATCATCTGGGCCAGCATATTTGATGCCTGCCTCTCGCCTTCGGTTGTACACAACAAACACCAGCACCAAAACTGCAAAAGGAAAATATTGTTATGTTACTGATAAAATCAAACAGAGTATCTCAGATTTGCATTAAAATTAAAAATGAGCAGAAATTTTCCCCTGCTTTTATTTTGTGATCACTATTGTTTTCAATATACTTCGCAATCTTGACGCATAATATCTACTTTCAAATAAGGCTCATTGACAGTATTGATCACTTTTGTCTTTACAATTGCTCTTTTCAACTTAAAAGTTAAAAAAAAAATCCTTGTCCTCAAATCGAAAATAATCAAAACAAAGACACATTAAAATTTGATGGATAAGTGTTCATGATTTGCACATTATCCTAGCGGTCAAATCAAATGATCTTTTTATGAAACATAATTAAATTATTGTGCTGAGAAAAAATATTATTCTTCTCTTCACAAAGCAATAAGAATTACAGTTAGAATACGAAGCAAAAAAGGTTGAAAATAGCATTTAACTGGTGAAAATAGAATGGTACACAGTGCAATGGTGTAAACATTTAAAGATGGAATAATCAAATGATATGCGTATTCGCTAAAATAATAAAAATTAAAAAATAAAATCATTTACTTGTATTACACAATGGGCCTGTTGCAAACTTTTGCTAGAGCAAAACTATAACTAAGAGTCGTTTCTTACAGATAATGCCTCAAAACTCACGATGAGCGCATCGGCAAAGTTTGAAATGCACTCATAACTTCACAATCTGCGTAAGAAATTTGCGGTTTTTTGAGCTTCCCGCTTCGAAAATATACTACGGTACAGGTGAACATTTTGTTGGAGGAGTCGTTCCATTGGCGGCAATACTCATCATGGCCGATGCCAGTCCGCCAAAACACGTGTGATGGGACGAGATAACACCTGAACAGGATTAAACCAGATAACAATCGGCGTGTTTATGTTCATATTTTCCTCGCCCGCCTTAATTGACCTTGAACTCTCCTCGAATTACGCGAGGAACTGCGCAAGCGTCGGCCATGATGAATATTGCCGACGATGGAGCGACTCCTCTAACAAAATGTTCACCTGTGCAGTAGTATCGTTTTTGAAGCGGGAAGCTCAAAATAACGCAAATTTCTTACGCAGATTGTGAATTTATGAGTGCATTTCAGACTTTGCTGATGCACTCATCGTGATTTTTGAGGCATTATCTATAGGAAACAACTCTTCATTCTGCTCTAGCAAAAGTTTGCAACAGGCCCATTGATATGAAATAAAGACTGGTAAAAAATTAAACCATGCTGACACAACATGAATTGATGCAATCTAAAAACGAAAAAAATTAGATAAAAAATTAACAAATATCAGGACTCAAATTAAATAATTTTTCAGGATAAAGTTGCTACGAAAACTTAGCACCATAGTTAAGATCAAACAGGATGGTAGAATATAGCTAAGGTCCACACTTTTTAATATTTTGTTTGAATGTAAACTCATTTGCTGAAACTAGTCGGCACATGAGTTCTATGACTTTGTTGCACATGACCTAAGATAATCATGAAAAATTGGAAAAATCAAAGAAATAAAACTTACTAAGAAGTAATAGGGTGCAGATAAGAATTGCAACAATAAAATCGGTTGAAGGGGTAATGATGCCGGACTCTCGGAGTTCGAGCTCACAATGCTGTCCAGTAAAACCTGGTGTGCAATAACATGCATAAAGTCGTTCATCGGCATAGTCTCGACATGCTCCTCCATTGAGACATGGTGAGTATTCGCACTCATTTTCATTGGCGCACTCCTGGTTGACGACTTTGAACCCCGTTGGGCAACTAAATGGTAAAACACAATTATCTACACTACAATACGACAAATATACAGACATTAAATGATAAATGAAACCTCATCAGAGAATGGCAAACAGAAATGGGGAATAATTTGATCCATATCGCTCTTAAGACATCTTTTATATTTTTTCAGAGACATGCGATAGATATTGGGTTGATGAGAATTAAACTTTCTGACTAGAGATGATAATTTTTTACTAAAAAATAAATTTCAGAGAATCAAGCCCCCCCCCCCCNTTTAAAACAATAGATACAACTCGATAGTTAGCGGAGAAAATTTGATTTTCCTCTCAGTGAATGTCTTCAATTTTCGAGACTTGAGGAATGAAAAAGTTCTAAAAAAGGGGTATCATTCTTGGGGCATAAAAGTCAATAACTGGAGATAATAAATTTTAAATAACCATTCTACTATAAATGAAAGTTTAAAGTACAAAACTAAAAAATCTAGGAAGCTATAAAAATGCGTTGTAAAATTACTTTATTGGAAATAGTTTGAATTAAAGAGTCTTCTGCGGCATTTCAAAATTTATCAACCCAATATCTTGGCCTCTATTTATAAAAAAGGAACTTACTAATTATACATGTATGTACTTTTAAAAAAAGAGAAAAAAAACAAGAACTCCAAATTTCTTAGAATCACTCCTCACCCAATTCTACAAACTACGAAAACAACCATTTTCGACTACCATTCTCTGATGAGAAAAAAATAAGATAACAACAAAAAATAACTGAACAAACAAAGAAATATTAAACAAAAAGGGGGGGAAACCTATGAAATACTACAAAAAAAAAAAAAAAAAAAAAAAAAAAAAAAAAAAACTTGCAAGTGGCTAACAAATAATTTCTATGCGAAATCACTACGAGGACTTACTGAGAATGATTAGAAGGCAAACTAGAATGGCGGCCAATGCGCCCATCCCGAGTTTGAGCCTGCGGCCCTCTTGAACAAGCTCGCAGTTACCGCCCCAGAACCCGTCAGGACAGTGACAACGGTACCTGACTTCTGGTTCTAGGTTCTGACAAAGCCCACCGTTGCGGCAGGGATTGTCCAAGCACTCATTTCGGTCGATGCACTCCTTCCCGTCGGGAGTTATTATTCGGCCCTCGCCGCAGCTGGTAGTTAAAAAATTACAACGCGTCAATAATTGTGAAGCCTTTATTCACACAGTCAGGATAGTTAGAAGAATTGGTCTACGACATGAAATGATTGGAGGGTAGGGATTTGATTGACACGAATTGACCGAAAAATGAGAGCATTAATCGATCAACTTGAACCAGTTGACACCAGTTCAATGGACAAACATAAGAATCAATTGATGAGCTCGTGAATTGACAAACGCGTGAGTCGATTGAATTACGTCAATCGAATTGTTGTTGATCGAATCTCATCGATCGATTCCAGTTAGTATTTTCAGATTGATTCATGTTGATAACAGTTTTTTAATAATTTGTCAATCGAATCAGTGTTAATCAGTGCCTGTTGATCGATTTATGTTTTTAATTTTCGGTCGATCCATGTCAATTGAATACAGACTTTCCAAAAGATTTGGTGCAGACATCAGTTTTCTTTTCCTTGTATTGCGGAGGTGCCAAAATAGTTATCGGAGCAGAGTGATGGTAAAAAGAGTAGATTTATAGATATAGAGAAGTCTTTTATGCCTCAGCCTCAGGCACTTGAATTTGGCCAAATGTTGTACACAATTTAAGACCAAAATTAAATTCCAGGTGGTATGAGACGAGGTCATTCTGATAAAAATCTGACAAACCGACATTTGGAATCAGTGAGAATATGTTTCTCTGCTAAAATTGGACAGCCTTGGTGAATGACCTTTAACTTTTTTTTATATTTTGGACAATTTTTTTAAACAAAACATAGGCAAGGTAATAGGTTAAGGCAAATTATGGTTTTTCAAATTTTTTTTTACGAAATTGTACCTTCTTGAGCTGGCCCTTTGGATTTAGGTTTGAACCGTTTGATTTCTGAAAATAAGCATGGGACTCGGTGGAGGTTTCATTTGGGTAATTTAAGAAATTGTCAGGTATGTTTTTCAGTAAATTAGATGTTCTAGAAATGATACTTACGTGCACTCATATTCATTCCAAAGATCAACACACTCAAATGGATCTGGACAAATAACATTGGCGCAAGGTTTATTCGAAGGACAACCTGCTTCCAGATTTCGAGCCATTGTTGCTTGGCCCCACTGCGTTCCATTCATTGCTGGAGGCAAAGGCAGGTGCTTGCCTTCAAGCCTGATGTCATCCAAACAACCTGTCAACGACGAGGTCATAATTAAAGGAGATTTATAAATCTAATGAATGCTGGACATTTTCAACAATGCTCTTGATGCATTAAAATATGAGTAAAAATAACAATTATGGAGGATTTCCAAAAAATTGTATTGCTTCATCTAAGAGTGCTCAGTGAACTGTTTTTGCATTATTTTTGTATTAAGCGCTCAGCCGATAGGCAGCGCTTTTTGATTTCGACTTGCCTCTGAGTACTAGTATACTAAAGCTAATGCGTTCAAATGACGCACCAGCTCATCGATGTGTAGGCTTTTTGGGGGGGTCCATTTTTAAAATAAATAAAGCTGTGAAAACTGTATTTTATGCTTTTAACGTAGTTTCGATCGTTTGTCTATAAAAAAATTTCTTAGCGGTAGAGTAATTCTTATCAAAATTGATCGTTGAACTTCAATGAAGCCTAAAAAAAACGCGCCTGATGAGCTCAACGGTGACTATCATTTTCGGGAAACAAAAAAACGCGTTTACGGTTTCCTTGGTAACCTTTGTTTGCTATCAGCTGATGTTTTATTTCCATTACCCAGCCAAGTCGACGGAGTTTATACTTCCTTTCTTCACTAAATACATTGACTAACACCTGAGCGCTTTTCTAATACGACAGTATTAGAACTTTCCCGCTTGTTTTTTTTTTTTTAAAAACAGAAAATAGTAGAAAAATATATTGAAAAGTAAGATAATGTACCACCTTGTGATGTCATCAGGTGGTACTTCCCATTTAAACACTTGTATTTTAGAAAAATGGATAATGTCGTCATAATTTGGACGCATTTCTACCAAACAGACCTATGTGGAGGTGAGAAATATGGGGTGTGCTTGTTAGTTCTCTGGCCGCAAGAGTGAAAGAGAATAATAAAGCGCCAGTGACGTCAGCGGCAATGAGGGAGAGCGCGCGCAACGGGGAGGTCGTCGTCGGGGCGCTGTAACTCATGAGCCCTGTTCACAACGCTCTCTTGCCATGCCCGCGGCTCATGAGTTCCGCATTCAGATGGCACATAGGTCTGTTTGATAGAATGTAATATCCCGCTTTTCCAATTCTTCAAAAGGAATCACCCCCACTTTTACATTGCTTCTTATGCAGCTTCGACGAGCACACCCCATATTTCTCACCTCCACATAGGTCTGTTTGATAGAAATACGTCCATTTGTCTATTAACTGTTCAACAGAAAAACCAAAGATATGATATGCTCAGTCCAATCAATAGTTTCAACTTATACATGAGATTCATTAAATTTCAAATATATGCAAATTCTCCATTGTAGATTAATCTAAGGTAGAGACATGGTAAAATATTAGAAAAAAAGGAGCCTACCTTTCTGGAAGTCAGCAAACACCTCGAAAGTTCGTACTCCAGTGTATTCTGCTTTACCACCTGCATAAACTCCCTCTTGTTTGTCGACAACTAACCACTGGTGTCCTTCAAACACAAACGTCTCATTGTACCGGCGACCCTCTCCTCCATCAAGTTCTAGCATTGTCGCTGATCCATACCGAGTAATCTGTTGAAGAAACGTACGGACAATGAAAGAATAAATTAAATTAGAACGCTCCAGAAAATTATTTCTTGATATGTGACAGCTCCTGAACTTCTAAAGATTCCATTAAAGCTTAACAACAACCAAAATTTGATTACTGAAAAGTTGTATGCACGACCAGAAAAGTGTGTCATGCTATAATTGTCATTTTGGACAGAAAAATATTTGCCTCTAGTATGTGATGTGGGTGTAATTTACTGCTGGTAAAAGATCTTAATTTCCTTTAAAATTAGTTCTTAGTACTCGGCAACTCAGAATGAAAGGATATGAAGCTTAGAAAAAGTATAGGAAAAAAAATCCACCGCCCTAAGCGATTGTCTACTTTGTCTGATTAGAAATCGTAACTGCTCAAAGGTTACAGAATACTTTACAGATTGGACACTTAAAATCTTAAACACTTATTTCCAGGCGTTTCAGAGGAATTGAAAATGAATACATACATACTTAATTTAAATCTATTTTTTCAGCTTTTTAACTTACCTTGGCAGTGTGCCACTGGCCGTCATCCACAGCAACTGCAGTTAGCCAAACATCTTTTTCTTCTGTTCTTAAACTGTTGAGATTGTACCTGAAGTGAAGTCGGCTATCTTTGATCTGAAAAAAAGCAATAATTTTGGCATTTTTGGCGCTTCATGACGATTTTTCTTGAAAACTTGGCAACGTAGGGAAAAGTTACAAATCACATTTTATGTATTTTTTTACGTTCTTTCCGAAAATGTACACGGTTTTTAGATTAAATTGAGTTTCACACATGTAAACTTGAAAAAACCCCTAAAAATTGGTGAAAATTGGCAACAATGGACCGTTACGCCTTTTAAAATTCACAGGAAGCCATTTTTATGGCCAGATATGAAAAGTACGTAGAAAAATACATATAGTACACACCCGTAGGGTGACAAAGGTCGAGAAACATTCAAAAGAGCTACCTTCAAGTAAAGAAAGGCCGCTAAAATCGACATCCCGGTCAATTTTCACATCGTGGGAATCCAGGTACAACTATAATATTTTGATATGTTGTATATATAGGTAAGAGCTGTTACGTACGTCAATATAAAAGTTGTACTCCACTTTCTCGAACCTTAAGCGTGGCAATTTATCAAATTTATGCCATTTTTGGCTCTTTGGGACGATTTTTCTCGAAAATTTGGCAACGTAGGAAAAAGTTTCACTGGACATTTTTTATTCATTTTTTTGCGTTCTTTTCAAAAACGTACACGGTTCTTAGTTTGAATTGATTTCTGCGTGTGTAATATTGAAAAAAGCCCCTAAAAATGGGCCAAATATGGCAACAATGGGCCATAAAGCCCCTTAAAATTTATCGGAGGCCTTTAAAAAGGCCAGAAACGGAAAATACTCAAAAAAAATACATAGGAATCATCTGCTGAAAGAGTGATCACAGTCGAAAAAGTCAACGAAAATAACTATTTTTCGATGCCGAGGTTCTGGGTTTGAGGCGTTGTTGCACCTTTGCATGGGCTCCGTTCGGTTAAATATTTGGCATAAAGTCTACTTAGGACTAGTACTTTGAAAATATGAAACATTCAGCAAAATCCAGGTGGGGCCGGAAAAGGCCCAAAACGACACTCCTCCTTACCTTTGTAAATTGAAGTCTAAGTTTACTGAAAGAGGTAAAAAAGTAACACTTTTGTCTTTTTAAAGAAAGAAACAATTTAAAGTTTAAAAATTACATTGGTTTAGATTTCTCTGGTTCAGCAGACATGAAGTTTAAATGTTTAAGGCCAAGTATGGCACTGATCTATATTAAATCCATTAAATTTCATCAACTCACCTCAAGAATTCCGTATTCTCTGTGGTGTTGATCACTGACCCTGAATAATTCACCATAAACTTCCCTTGTGCGGAACCTCAATTGAACTTGCGTCCTAAACCGATCTGGTTCAAAAGAGAGAGCATACTTGACGTAACTCTGGGCTTTGAAAGTTATTGGGGTTGTTGGCATGTTGCATGATAGTCCAGTGAAGCCAGGCAAACACTCGCATCGAACTTCGGCCAAACTACCAACGCATACACCATGATCTCCACATCGGATTCCGGCGCAAACTTCCTCCGTTTGAGCACAACCTGCAACACTGTTCTGGGAGAGACCAGGTTGGGCTAGGTCGTAGAGCTAGAAAAAACACAAAAATTAGTTTTATAATTAATGAAGCTATGTAGGTATCGTTTTTGGAGAGAGCTGGGAAGATTTTCTTGCTTTAGAGGTCAAATTTCACCTTCCTTGCTAAAATAAATTATCGTCGTGGAGAGAATGAAAACTCATGACCACACATTTTTTTTTGGATATCAAATAATATGCATTTCTTACAAAAACCTAACCGCCACAGAATCCTATCTTCTCACAGCTCTTCTAGGAGTTTGCATTCTCTCACTTGTTTATCAAACTTTATCTTACATCTCTGATTTTTCATGAGCACTCATGAGACTTTTCAAAAAAAAATCCAGGGTTTTGAGATTATCTTTTTTCATAGGTGGGTAATTCAAGTTTCAACACCAAAAATAAAAGACAATAAAGCTCTACCAACTCACTTTGCTATTGTGGATGACGTTTCTGATACAACCGTCGAATGGCTTGCCATGAGGCACATACTTCCACCGATAGAGGGCAGGATTGATTTCACTGGTGTGGCGACCACCTAGTTGCAGAGGAGCGTTTACATTCAGGTATTCATTGAACGGAGGTATGAAACCTTGCGCCTGACAACTTGAACTGTCGAATTTGGGTACAGAGCCATCCTCCAGCTCTGAGATCACAGCGCTTTTACAATAATCTACGACAAGTCTCACCATCTGTAACAATAAATAAAAAACAACCAGCATTATGATCACTGGAAAATTGAAGATTACAAAAAAAACCAAGGCTGGAGCATGCATCAAAATTAGATCTATAGTTTAGATTCAAAATAAGATTTAGAAATCAACAAAGGCTCCACGTGTTTCCTCCGTTATATTATGAAAAATTGTGGGATATCACAAAAATTTATGTGCAAGGGTAGAAAAAGGCTGCTTCCAAAAAATCAAATTCTCCAGGAGTCTGAGGGGTGACAGCAATGTCCGTAATATTTCCTTTCATTGGGACGAGTAAAATATTAAAGATTACAGTGGCTTTTTTTTAAAAAGTGATGCGGAATGATGAACAAAAAGTATTGGCTCATGCTACACTATTGTTCCCAATGTTTACAAAAGCTTGCATGGAAATTCGAAACAGAACAAAAATTAAATCCGAGGCAAATGGACATGCTTGATCTTCAGTACCTAATGAAAAAGGGTAGCAAATAATATAGGAAAGCATTTTTTTCATTTTACCTCTGTGTCCCAGAAAACATCCAATCGATGCCATTCACCATCGTCCAATGTTTTCGATGTTCTCACTTTAAGTTCAAGAGTACCTGATCCAAAATCTATTAACAATTTGGGATGACCCTTTTCTAACTCTAATGAAATAAAATCTGAAAAGAAAACATACGCATACATTAATTAAGAAAAAGATCGCCTGAACTTGGAGAGCTAAAAGGCAACTTTTATTACACAATTCGTCGTTTCTTTGACAAAAGAACGTGAATGCATTTCTATGCTACAAAATTTCTACTAGCTAATTGTATTTATGCCCAGAAACTGTTGAGAATTTCTTACATAAAAAAGAAACAGAACTCAGAATTAGACAATAGCCTTGAAAATGCTATTACGCACTTCAACAATGTAATAAGTACTAAATATTTAACCACTGAGCTTTATAATTTTTTTCTGGAGCTTCCCAGCTTAATAATTTAAAGAACTTTGCTTTGAACATGCCTAAACTCGGACAAAACTTAAGGTGCGTTGAAAACAAATTTAGGATGAAAATCGCAATTTTACCTGAAACCAGAACTTCTTCGGGTTCAGGAGGCACTATTGGTCCATTGTACAAGAGTTGTCCATCACTTTTACGGGTGATGAATTCGAGACTCAAATGGGAGTTATCACACATGTCGAGAGGGTCGTACCACGCCCAGCCGTTTCCACGGAAACTTCGAGCAGTTTGCTGACATCTAGGCCCATGATATCCGGAGGGACAATTGCAACTGCAAAAGTACACAAGAGAAAATAAAATTAAGATTAAAGATTAACATGAAAAAATAAAGATTTAATAGTTGGTATCAGTTGGAAACTTTCAAAAATATAGCTTCTGACTAAATAAGAGAACGATTTACTTAAATTCTGGAATAGAGAAAATGAAATTTTCTCCTTCATAGAAAATAGATTAAACCTCACTGGAATAAAGTGAACTAGTGGTGGACTTGAGAAAAAAACCAATTTTAAGAGAAAGTTCAGGTATTAGATACAAAAATTCAGCATAGCTTTAAAAAAACAGTAATGTACAGAACCGCAAAGATGGACACACATTCACATTATGCTCCAAAATTTCTCAAAAGCCTTCTTTACGCCTTACTACAGATACTGCAACTTTTTTTCTACTTTATTATTTTCTAGCATAAGATTGATATGAAAATGATAGTGTTTCAGTGAAAATTAATAACTTAAGAGAGTGTCTTCCCATTGTAACTTGAGTTTCAAGTCTTTTTGGATAGTCTTTGATGGCAATCACACCTACGTGGCCAACACTTGGCAACAGAAAATTATTCATACAAAACCAACACACAATTTACTTTCTGCATACCTGACACCGTATTTTCCTTCCGTACATCGGCCACCATTATGACAATGAACTTGTGATCCTTTACAAGTTTCGGGTTTTGTGAAGTTTCTTGCTCCACAAGTGCACTCTCCAATGACGTCGACTCGGACACCAACAAGTGCTGTTTTGTTGGCATTAACCATATACGGCAACGAGTTGACATCCAGCTGATTTGTGCAGCTGCCTTCACAATTCACGTTTTCATGCAGACATTCATCGATACCAACCATGGTTATGTTAATATCGACCTCTTTTTCAATCTGGGAATTGAATTCAAAGGAATACAAAATTAGACAAAAACGAGCTAATGCAAAAAAAATGATGAAAAAAACACTTGAAGATTGATTACTGCGACCACCTTAGATTTCTAAGCATGACAATACTTTGATAAAAGTAGATTCTACAAAGTTCTATAATCAATTTAATTTTTAAAATCTTGTTTATTTTTACATTAAGAAATATATGGTCCTAATTTAAATTATGATAATAGTTGTTTTAAAACCCCAAGTGTTAGCTCGATGATTTAGCTGCTCTTGTAAAATTAAGCTATTGAAACAAGCAATTGCTCAACAACTTTACAACTCAAATTCTCTCTGCATCATTTTCCTAATGCTTTGAAAAGATGTGAATGCTTCGGGTATTGTTGAGCTATGAACCGAAACTTAAAACCTATGTTTGAAATCATAGAACAAGAATTGTTAAGAACTATTCTCCAAAATAAAATCCTAAAATATAAAATGGTAAAATAAGCAGTACCTCCTCTCGATGTAGCAAAACTAATCCATTTAGTTTGACCGGTTTGTAATACGGGGAACTGTGTGCAGAGAATCGAACATCTGTCAGTGGAGGATACTTCCTACGGAGCTGAACACTGAATACATCGACATTTTCTGGTTCAACGTTTAACAATTCGGCTAATTTGTCTCTAAAACGATCAGCTTTGCTTCTGACAGTACTCTGGGTCTGAAAAATTACAGGAAAATATTTATTAGACAGAAAAACACTAAAAGCATTGTTGAACAAAATACATTCTTTTAAATTTTCGGATGAAAGAGAAAATTAAAATGTGAAAATTAGCTCAATAAGTACATCGAACCTCAGTTGAAAGACCTGCTATTCTCTATGCTAAAATTTTCCGACATAATTTAATAAATTAGTACGAAAAAAACAAGCATTAAATTCATTGTTTCTCATCACTTAAGAAAAAGTAATTATACCTTTTTTTTGGAAGGAATAGACTTAAAAATAATGAAAACTTGAGAAATAAAATCTTCCATTATTCAAATTAGCCCTTTCTTCCTTTAACCATTCTTTCTAAATGATTGTAAAAGGCTCCTAAGTTCCTTGTATTGACTTTATGTAGAAAAATAAGAAAAAATTGGTGAGTTTAAAGATAACATGGATGATTATTCTTGTCAAGATGTACCCCCTAGTCTCTTTTACCTAAAATTTAAACTCAATCTTTTCAAAAGAGATCTTACCAAGAATAAAACCAGCGGTGAATGGACAGGGTGAGTAGCAATTTTGAACTTAAATTATTGGTGATTTTGTGCAAAACACGTTGCAGAATGTGAAAAAATTTAACATTCAGAGTTTAATTTTCAGCTTCACAAAATGAATTCAAACATTTTTAGAGCTCCAAAACTTAACATAATGAATTATTATTATTAATCTTTATTTCTAATAAAAATCACAAAAATGTTACTGCTTTCTTCATTCACTAAAAAGCTCTAACTATAGTCATTATAAGTAAAAAAAAAAGAGGAGACTAAATGATCATTACCTTATAATTCCATACTCTGATAAAATCTTCATCAGTTATTCCAGCGATTCTTATTGAACCAGATTTGTATACAGCCTCCTGAGAAATCTCCTTGACTGTAATCGTTACGTTAGCAGGTACATCATTTTGCGTATGCTTCCGATCATACACTTTGAATCGTAAGTGATAAGTACCAGACCATGTCCCGTGCTTCATTGTGATCATGCCAGTGTTTTCATTTAGTCTGAATCGAGGGTGCTCTGTTGTGTCCCAGTAGAATCTCTTGTCCGGCAAGTCCCAATCGTCTAAATCGTACACATAAACTCGACCGATCTCAGTGTCTGGAGCTTGGCCCTGAAAAGAGTGAAAGGAATGTAATAAGCCCTTGAAATATGATTTATGTTAGATACGCTGCAGATGCTTTTGAGCTTTCTAGAATCCTTGATTTGCTTAAATTCTCAGTTCTCCCAGATTTTCAGGGACTGCGACACAGCCACTGCGTTCCCACAAGAAAACCTTAGGTTCTCTTTCTAATCCCCACATTCCTTCTTAGTAAGCTTCAACTTCCCACAGAAATTCATACCAAAATATTTAGTTTTCACATTTTTTGGCTGATTTTTTGGCGACAAGTTAATACAGACCACCAAACTTAGAAAAAAAAAAAATATCTCTGAGCAGAAAGAGAAAAAATTCCCAATTTTTCCAAGATCTCGACACCAAGAATATACCTGAGCCTAAAACTTTTAGTCCTATTGACGAAAGTATTGACAATGTCCACTGGACTGGCGTAATGTTTTTTCCATATTTTAAGTTCCTTGATAATATGGAAAAATCTGCTGGGCAACATTAGCCAAATTTCCTCTTCTAAATCTCACTATTTTTTTTGGTTTTGTTTTCCAAAGTGATAGAATTTAATTATCTTTACCTGGTAGTTATAAACAAAGATGTTCTTTGAGCCGGGTTGCATTTTATTATCGTTCACATCACCAATCACTACAGTCAATGTGCTGGTTCCAGACATGGCTGGAGTTCCAGAATCTTTGATTATAATTGGAATCAGGTACTCTTTTTGCTGTTCACGATCAAACGACCGCAGAGAGGTGACAACTGCCATGCCATCACCATTAGCGCCCTCTAAACATGACAAAGATAAAGAAATACGGGATAAGTTTCTATTTTAATTGAAGTGAATGAATAATTCAATTATTAGAACTACAAAATGATTCTCATGGAAATCCCGAAAATTATTGGAAATCCTTCAATTTTTGGCTACCGTAACTTTTAAAAAAAATTCTTAAGCTTCTTTACCAAAAAAATCTTCAACTAGATGGTTAATATTTCAAAATCGCACAGATTTTAGCCATGTAAGAGATACACTATTACAAAACATAGTGAATTTGGAAAAAAAAAAAAAAAAAAAAAAAAAAAAAAAAAAAAAAAAATGAAATTTACATTAATGTTACCTCATAGGGAAGTTCTCTTTATCTACAATATCTGAGGCATTTTGTAAAGTAAAAAACAATATTTCATGAAAAAATTAACATTTAATCCCTCCTGCAGTGAGGTAAGGTACTTTGAAAGTGTTTGTTAAGATAGAATAAATTGTATTATGTGTTTTATAATATATTAAAAATGGAGGTCAGTAGTTGAGAGTCTTTTTCTCTTAATAGCTGAAAAAAATAGTAATATGTTCACATTAAATGGCAGAGGGAGGTAGAGAAACATTCTGCAAGGCTCTATACTGAGCCCCTGAAGATCGAATATAGAGGTTAAGAAGTTTTCTGTCTACAAAAATTAGACGTCTCGGGAAAAAAGGATCACTTACTCTGATCGTGTTCAACTTTAAATGAAGCTCGAATGACTTCATCGGCACTTGGGTCCATACGGAATGAAAACGGAGGGCCATTGCTTTTAGACCTATCGTCATCATCCGTTGCTAATAATTCAACAACTTTCTTTGGTGAAACGTGTTCCTGTAGAACTGGACGATAATCTTTCAAAAATACAGGTGCATTATCATTGATATCTTGCACTATCACAGTCAGAGTTGCCGTTGCTGTTTTGGGCGGGATACCATCATCTATCGCCAGAATTTTCACCTGCAATTTGACAGTGAGATTGATCAATGGAAGAGATGAAATTGAATTGATCAAATGAAAGGTAGATGCTACAAAGACGTACAAAATTCAAAAATGGAAAGTGCTTTTGTGGTACTGAAATTTTTAATTTGGAGAGGATCAAACAACAGACAATACAAAAAAAATTCTGAAGCTTCAATTTCTTTTTCTCTGTTTTATAAAACATTTTGAAGCTTTAATTTAATTTTAAAAAAAAGAAATCTTGCAATGCTTGTTTAAAAAAGTAAAATCCACAAAAAATCAATGAGTTTGGAGGTACTCAAAAGAAAAGTGATGTTTCATTCAAACCCGATAATACTTGAAAGTTTCATCATTTGACACCAGGCATTACTGCGTCCACTGCTAAAATTCGATGATTTTTAAAAAGAAACACTTCCTGAATTTTGCCCTTAATTACTGACCTTCTAATTTTTTTCTATTTCTTATTATTCATTTATTTACCAATTTTTTTCATTTAAAATGACTTGAAAACAAGCGATACTGAACTATAGAAAACTTCAGTGGCCCAGCAACTTCACATTTAACTTCCTAGGTGACGATAAACGTATAATCCTCGTTCATAAAAATGATTGATGATTCATATAATTTTCGTATTGGGCTCTTTTTAAGTGGAGAGCTTCAAACAGACCAAAACGGAAAGGCCTCGAAAAATGGTTAATTTACCTGATGGCGAGGAGTTTCCTCTCTATCAAGGGGTCGCTGAATTGTGACTACTCCTTCTTGATTTATGGCAAACTGTCTTCTCCGATCTGAGCTCCGGTCAATGGCGAATGATACTTTGCTCTTTCCTCCCTGATCAGGGTCACTTGCTTTGAAAACTTCTAAACTTTTCCCGACTTCAGCGTTTTCAAGAACCAGGACTTCCACATTCGAACGTTCAAATTGTGGTTTATTGTCATTGATATCACGCAGTTTCACCACCACCCATGAGTACGCAACATGGTACTTGTCATTATCATTATCTTCTCCCTGAAGAGAGAAAAAAATAATGAATGAAGTAAAAAATTGATACAGGTGATAAACTAATCATATTAAGCCTCTTGCATTATAGCAATAACTGATTTGGAACTCTCATGATAAGAATTGGCAAGGAATTATAGAAAATTGAACTATTTACTAGCTTTAAAACGGTGCATCAATTGCTCATGATAATCTTGGGTGTGTAACTTTCAGAATTGATAATCTGCAATTTTTGTGCTAGGTATAAAATACATACCAATTTTAGATCAGAATGTACTGAAATTATGGCAGCTGCAAAATTGTAGATTTATAGAAATACTACATGTCATGAAAATATAGACACCAATTTGAAAAAGTATAATGATTTGTTAAATAGTTAAAAGATGATAAGGAAATATTTTCTTATTCTCTGCCTAGACTCTTTAATGTCATTGCAATATTACACCACATTGGGAAGTTCAGCACTTGAATGACGCAAAAAAAGACGAGTGTTTTCATGGAACATTGATTAAAGCACATACCTTATCGTTCACTTGAATTCTAAACCGGAAGCCATTGCTCTGTAAGGCATCTTCGTAGTCCAGAGGCTGCACAATTTTCAAAGAACCTGTTCCGTCATTGTTTCTGACCATGGTGAATTTGTCAGCACCATACCCACTGTTCTCAATGACCTGAAAAATGATGGTGAATATTTCATAATCCTTTAAATTAAATTTGTATAATTTGAAAACAGACAGACCAATTCCTCTTTGAAAGAGATTTAAAAAACACAACGAATAGAGACAATTTTGATCACAGATATACTTAAGTAAAGATCTGGAGAAATGTAAAAAAAAAAAAATCTGTAGGAACAATTGAGGACACCGCACCAAGAACAGCCTATAACTGGAAACCGCGTTTTGAGAAAAACGCATTTAAAGTTTTGTTTTTGATGTACTGCGCAGACTTTTCTATGCAGGTACCATGTTTTGGTGTTTTTGGGTGACCTAACCCTTCTATTGAAGGATGCCGGGTAGATTTTGCGATACATTTTGGGTTTACATTCTAATATATTTAATTTAAAAAAGCGGTTTATAGGTCATTATTACGTCCAACAGTCATTTTGGTGGCAATATGAAAGTATAAATCATTTTAATAACGCATGATTAACGTAAAATGAAAGAATATCAATAGTGAGTAAAGAAAGGGGTAACTAGCACCTTATAGGCCCTTAAGTTTATAGGCCCGTTTATAGGTCGTTCTTGCACCCATCGATCCAGAGGCCTGACTTAACTCGGAAAAAAAAGGTTTTTCGACCTCGAGCCGTTACCTATCTATATTCTATCGCTACCACAGCATAGTCCAGGGAACGTAGAATCCGAAAAGCAGATGGGCGTAATAACGACCTATACGCCTATAGGCTGTTCTTGGTGCGGTGTCCTCAATTTTGAAATTAGGAGACCATATGAGAAATTGTATTTGCTTGGAGTTCAGATCAAACAAGTTCATTAAACCGGGTTTAAATGATTAATTCATTTATTACTCTCTTACTCAAAAGGATAGGCTGAAAATTGTAATGCTTTCAATGAAAGAACTTAGGTAACTTAGAATGAAACCCTCCGATTGACAAGATCCATCTTCTTGTAAGAATATTCTGAATTCGGAATGAAACAGATTTACATACCTTGTACTGGAATTTATTCGTTTCATCTTCATCATGAACTGTGACTGTGAGAATGGGTGTCTCTGGTAGATTGATTCCATCCGTTTCATCTACTTCAGTAAGCCATTCTTCTTTCGTGAATAATGGTGGCATGTCGTTTATGTCTTTCACTCGTATCGAAGCTGTCCCGGTCCCTGCAAACATATTTGCATGAATTACTTGTCACAAATGACAGTTGATTATATGACCTTGGTAATTAAAAAACTGAAATTGAAAGGACTCTGAGCTAAAAGTAACAAACTCAATGGTTATTCAGATCGATTAAATGCTTACAGTTGTTGACAAAGAATCAAGTACTCAAATATTCGGGGTCAAATCGTAAGGGTACCTCCAAAAATCATCCATTTTTACGAGGTAGTTCATTATTGTTGTTGATTCACTCAATTGGTTTTTCTACATGAACACAAATGCTTGTGACAAAATACTAGGTTCTTCTCCTTTTTAACTTTCTTCATTTACAAATAAATTTCTCAGGCATCAGTCATATGATTAGCGAAAGTTAGATAAAAATGGGAAAATACATCTGTTAGAATTTTATATAACTTCAGATCAGTGAGACGTACCTAGTATAGACCTCAAAAATATAATACAACAGAAATTCTTACCCTTTAACCCCCCGCCATCCATTGCAACCACTTGTATCGAATAATCAGGAGTACTTTCTCTGTTCAAACAGCAAACGGCTGTTTTGATCACACCCGTATCCGGTTCAATCTCGAAGATCGGAGACCCAGTTTTTTCTTCGATGACATTCTTCTCAATGGAATAGGTAAGTTTGGCATTCGTCCCCTCTGTAGGGTCATCATAGTCGATGGCTGTCATTGTCATGACTACCATGCCTGTAGAAAAGGAGATAAAAATATCATGAGTACAAAATTTTACAAATCACAAAGGTACCTACTCCTACTAAATGAAAAAAAAAGGATCTTTCGTTATGATTTTTGGTGTATTTTCACAAGAAAATACACTAAAAATTTCGCAAGAAAATACACTATTGTTTATTGTTAATTTTTTTAATACACATTATATTAGAGAATATTATGACTGCTACAAGAGCTATTTGCCGTATATTTAAGTATATAAAATGAATTAGATTTACAAAGGTATTGAGAGGCAAAGTAACATTATATGATGCAGATCATCTAAGAGAGCAGGAATTATGGAATTCTCTCTCTTTTGTTTAAAGAAATTCGGTTGTTATAAAACTAAGGAAGACATTTAATTTTTCGAATTTTTTTCCCCACATGGATATGAGATCATATGCAGGTAGGTAAACATAAAAGAGAACTGAAGAAAATTTTTTGTAAAATTACTTTTGATCCTCAGTCTTCAGCTATGTTCATTTTGTATTAATTTTTTTTATTTTTATAATTCTATACATGGTTCTATAGGCGTTGGTGCTCTCAAACCGGAAATGCACCTTTAAAAAAAAATGAAAATTTTGACTTCAGAAGTCAAGTCGTCTATTTTCTAGTGTGCCTATTTCTTGCATGGTTTTTTTTTAAAAGCTAAATTTAAGAGAGTACTTTGAAGGAGAAGGTCCTAACTATTTTGAAAGGGACATATTTTTGATAAAAGGAACTATGTAAATAGGGTTTGCATGCAACACAGTTCCTTTCAGCATATATCGACGGTGAAACTACCAAACCACGTATCTCGTTTGCGGTGTTTAAAAATCTACACTCACATTTCATTTTTTTTGAAGTAGACCAAATCAATATCATTCCTTGAAATTTTCACAGAATTTTCTCCGCACGAAGAGGAAAAATCACAGAAATTTTCAAGACTGGACGTTAAGTAGTTTTTCATTTAAAAAATAAAGTATGACAGGAAGTCTGCGACGTCGCAAATCGAGATACGTGGTTTGGTAGTTTCACCGTCGATATACGTTCAAATAATGATCCAATGATGAAATAATGAAACCAACCTGCAGTGCCGTTTTCTGTAACATTTCCATAGTAGACTCCTGCCGGGAAGCTAGGTGGGTTATCGTTGATGTCTTTCAAGTTGACCTGCACATCAGCATAGCCGACCAACCCTTCACCTCCTTCATCTTGCGCGAAGACGGTGAATCTCCACTGTGGACGACCGGTGGGCTGATCTCTGTCCAGGGGCTGGAACAAAAGAAAACATGGTTGAAGACAATTCTGCCGGGAGTATATCAGTTCAATTGATTTTGCTGTTGAAAATTATGAAAGGCATCCATGCTTGGGCGAAAAAATTAATAGTGGCCACGTTTTCTTGAAATTTTGTTGAATGAAATCAATCTTCCAAAAAAACAATAGATGGGTCAGAAAAAAAAATCTGAGTTAGAAATAGTTAAAATCTCCTCGTCACCAGTCTGAACTCAGATCGTGTAAGAGTCACTTAAGCGAACAGACCAATCCTTGTAAATTTTTCTTCATAAGTTACTCTTAATCCAACATCGAGGTTGTAATTAAAGAGGGTACTTGAAACGGGGGTAAAATGAATAAAAGCGGTGATTTTTGAGGACTCTCTGGCAACAATGCGCTTCGATCAAACGAGCGGGTCAAGGAGGTCGAGCGCAATTTGTCCGCTTGTCATTGTTAACCCGCACGGCGAGGAGCCACCCCTCACCCCTCACCCCACCCCCGCCTCGCGCCCCTCCCACCCAAAAAGAACAAACCCATCGGGGACGAGTTAACGGAGCCGCGGTTTTTTATCTGGATCTTTTCGCAGCGGAATTCTTTTCGCGCGGGGCGCCCTCCCGTCATTTGTCACCCGTTCCTCACGGCGGCAGCCGCGCGGGCGCGGCGTTTACCACTTTCCCGCCTTTTCCCAATTTCACCCATCGCCAATGCCGTCATCTCCTTCTATGTATTAATCAGTTGAAAAGTTTTGGGTTGGAAATTATCAGAGATTGACACCCGTCTCAACCAGAGATGGAACATTTGGACGTAGGTATTTCTATCAAAGAGAACTATGTGCAGGTAAGAAATATGGGGCGTGCTCTGGAAAGCTGGATAAGAGACAACGAAAAAGTGGGCGTGATTCCTTTTGAAGAGTTGAAAAAGCGGGATTTTAAATTCAGCAAAGAGAACTATGTGCCGACTGAATGCGGGATTCATGAGCTGCGGGCATGGCACGAGAGCGTTGTGGGTAGGGCTCATGAGTTAAAGCGGAAACGGAGGGTGGACGGCGGCGGTTCCATCTCCGTTGACGTCACTGGCGCTTCATTATTCTCATTCACTCTTACGGCCAGAGGACTAACGAGCATATCGACGGTGAAACTACCAAACCACGTATCTCGTTTGCGGTGTTTAAAAATCTACGCTCGCATTTTATTTTTTTGAAGTAGACCAAATCAATACAATGGAGAATTTGCACGCAATTTTTTTATTGCTTCATCTGAAAGTGCCTAATGAGCTGAGTTCGCAATATTTTTCATAATTTTTTTCTGACATGGGAAATTGGAGAAAAATTGATTTAAAAGTGAGAAAATGTGCCGCCTTGTGACGTCATCTGGCGGCATTTCCCATTTAAACACATGTATTTTAGCAGAATCGGTTATTTTGTTATATCTCCTCTAATAGTTGCTCAATTTATGAATCAAGGGTACCTATCTTCGTGTTCAGTTCACTCAGAGGATTCCACTTAAACAGGAAATTCATCAAATTTCAGACCCTTGCAAATTCTCCATTCCTTGAAATTTTCACCGAATATTCTCCGCACGAAGAGGAAAAATCACAGAAATTTTCGAGACTGGACGTTAAGTAGTTTTTCATTTAAAAAATAAAGTATGACAGGAAGTTTGCGACGTCGCAAACCGAGATACGTGGTTTGGTAGTTTCACCGTCGATATCCCATATTTCTCACCTCCACATAGTTCTGTTTGATAGAAATACGTCCATTTCATGTTTATTCGAGTGAAATTTTAGTAAACTTCAGGGGATGCATTCAAGATGCATGCGATCATTCACGTCCCGCCACTGAGTATTGGAAACAAATTTTTTGTGGTATAAACAGCTGAGATGAGCACTTGGAAAATTATCTCAGGACAAAACTTGGCGGAACCCGATCTAATGAAAATGTAACCTCTGTTGACCGGTGCCCCTTTACCCGCGGTGGATCACGTACAGAGTTGTGGGAACGATTTTGGAGAAATTTTCGCACGGTAGATAATTACGCCACGACATTGCAAAATAGACCGCAGAGCACGATACTGTTCAGTTATCACAGTCGGTGGGGGGGGGGGGCGACGGGGAGGGATGAAAGAGAGAGAAGTGTCGAGCTGTCGGGTTATTAGGAAGAAAACGGAGGAATGGTTGAATTGTTGGTAAGGGTGTATTTAAACTGATATGCGAGATGAAGTACAATCCCCAAGGGTGATGTTTGTGCGCTATTGAATGACCGCTCACGGGCACTGCATGCGTTGTCGAATTTAACAAAATTTTCAGTGTATTTTGGACTGCATTTGGAATTTTATGCATGAGCCAGAGTGTCCTATTCATATTACATCAAATTATAGAGGAGAGACATGACATTGATGAAAAATGGGTTCAGGCACCAGACAACCAAACATTGAATCGGTCGATGTTAAAACCTACCGCGGTCAGTTTCTGATCAGTCCTGAGACAAGAACAATCTTATGAATGTCAGAGATCTTCAGAAAATGGACTTGATAGGAGTTGACTACGACCGATTCATTTACGGGGTGCGTATCTCACAAGTTACATACTTGTACCGGAGCATAGAGAACGTTCGATGAGTTATAAGGTACCGCAAAACGGAAAACGCCTTCAATTTCACGAGACGCAGAAAACAGCACGGGAGAGCGAATAATTGCCTACTGAGTCATTTCTAGGTCTTCGTGAGTCATTTCCGTTCGTTGCTTGTACTTCAGAAATGATTTAAAAAAAAAACTGTAAAATTTTAATTTACAAACGGTTTGATTAATCTCCTGACGGAACAAGAAGGAGAGTTAGGTTTTAAAAACTAAAAACGGAACGAAAACGGACGTCCATCAAATAGTTACAGGAGCCTTGTAACATTTTTTTTTCAGTAAAAATGTAAGTTGCTTTATAAGAGGGTGAAGTTAACTTTGAAATACTTAAGTACCTATCCTCCTTTATTTTATGAGTTTTTCTTGGGAATTACTCCTGAACGCTTCGCGGTCCAAACCCCGCCTCCTCCCCCACCTCAGGCGTCATGCGTTACGCCTCACATTTACACCTCCTGGGGGTAGTTACATTCCATAGCTGAAAATCTGACACTCGTGTGACCAGCACTCATTACACGCGTGATACCGGAATAATCCGCTGCGGTGGCGGGTGTATTCGGGTCCAATTACCGGACCCAGAACGCTCCAATTAGACGTATTAAAATCAAAAGGAACTACCTCCATTTTGGCGTGGGCCCTGGGACCCATAAAAGCACATGCATGACGAGGCCCATATCACGACGGAGATAGTTCCTCTGATTTGAATACGACCGATTCACAACGCAACAAAATACGGCTAACCGTCCTTCAGTGTTGCCTGTTTGTGGAAATACCTCGTAATCCAAGATGGAGATTTAACAGGAGAAATAAAGAAAAATATTAGAGAATTGGCAATCTCTCCGCGCCCGGACTAAATGTGTAAATACGACCGCGGCCACTTATCAAAATGTTAATGGGTCTGCATCATTGTTGCCAGATAATAGAATCGCTCGATGTTTCCTTTGCCTCCTTTGTCTAAAGCTTTGTCTACAGCTTTGTCTATAAAAGTCAATGATCAGCTTGCTGTTCCCAACAACTTCAGCCCTCGAAGATTTTGATTGAATGGCACCTCCGCGGGATTCATATTAAAATTGATGGGAAAAACTAGCCAAAGAAGACGAAGGAAAAATTAAGCGATCTAATGGGTTGAACGGGTGGTTGCTGTGGGATAAGGGAGGACAAATGGATTAGTTATAGGGTCTCTCGTGGGTTGCTGTTAGTTAGTGCATTGCTCAACAAGGTGGTAAAATGGTGCTGAGTCCACACTATTTCGCGGGGAGAACAAGGCCAAAAAGCTCAACAATTTCAATTAGAGTAAAAAAGCCTCGAGCTCTACAGCTGAACACACTCTGAAGCTACACTTTGACTCCCATTCTTGTACTGGCGCTCAATAGAGCTCAAAATTGTTTACTCAAAATTGAAATTGTTGAGCTTTTTGGCCTTGTTTTCCCCGCGAAATAGTGTGGACTCAGCACTGTTCGACCACCTTGTTAGATACAGTTTGGGCCACGTTTCTTTAGTGTTTCTTTCTCAACTGCGTAACTCATTTGTCCATAGCAAACACCCGCTCCCATCTTCAAACACCCGCTATCATAATCAAAAGTGTACTCGAATCAAATCTCGCACTACAACGGTTTTGGCATTTAGCGTTGGCATTGCCAATTGAAAACGCCTTCAAAAGCGCTCGATACTGTGCAACACACAGGAGTTGAAATAGTTGTATCACACGAATGGAACCCAACTTCACGTGTTTTGATCACAAGTTTCTTCTTCTTTGTCTATAGCTTTGTCTATCGATTCCGATGATCAGCCGGCTATTTCCAACAACTTGAGCGTGAGCCCCCTTGGATTCAGATGAAATAACCCCTCTACGAAGTGCAAACTCCCCATTCTTCCAGGAACTCCATTGTGCGAGGTTGAAAACTCGGCGTGGAGGATTCCGAGGGACGCGGACGCGGAATTTTTCAGGCGGGAAAAGAATGCGAATCCTGCGGGACTTGGGGGGGCGGGGGTGTCCGGATCGACGTTCGGAAGTTGGATGCGAAAAGTTGCGGGGATTTTTCCCGGGATTCCGCGCCGAAAAAAAGTTGTCGGGGGTGCGGGAGGTGCCCGGCCGAGACAGGGCCAAGAAACTTGGGCCACCTTCTTCCTCCTCCTCATCCGATCCATCGTTACCAGATCGAGCCGAAAACGCAGAATATTTCCATACTTGGCGCGATGTAGGAGATGTGGGGTTTTCGCACGATCTGGCAAGCTGGATCCGATCGGATCCGCTCAGTTGCAGGATTCGCATCAATCTTGGCCGACTCCGTTCCAGGCCGGGGCGGGCCGGCATTCTTGAATAAAATTTAATTATCACCTTCGCGATTCTTCCGTCGGTGCGTTGCCGAATTTTGACGGGTCGATATTCGCCAAAACGACAACAGAGTTAGCAAGGTTACTTTTTACAGTGCAACAGAGAGATAAGCTAAGTTAGATTTGGTTAGGTTAAGCATCTAAACTAACCTCGAGATAATGCGTAAAGTATCGCGCAATGTTGAAGGCGCGATGGACGTGAGTCTCAGAGAATAATTTTCACTTATATTTCACCGAATTTTGACGGGTCGATATTTGTCGAAGGGACAACAGAGTTAGCAATTTTTATCGTTACTTAGGGTTACTCTTTACAGTACATCAAGATATAAGCTAAGTTAGGTTTGGTTGGGTTAAGTAACTAAACTAACCTCGCAATAATGCGTAGGGTATTGCGCAATGTTGAAGGCGCAATGGACGTAAGTCTCGGAGAATAATTTCCACTAAACTTTTACCGCGTTCAAAACCAGCGAAAACAAACGATGAGTTCTGATGCTGAATAGAAGTTGATGTATCATCGAACGCACGCAGTTAAAAATGTCCGTGTTTATGGTTACTTCGGGTTACTTTTTACCGGTCAGATCAATCAAAAGGAGTCGATTGATCTACTACATTTTTGGTAAAATCGACCAAAACCGTAGTTTTCTCGATGTACTGCACTCTTGTTTCTCTCGATGTCACTCATAGGTTGCGACTTGCGAGTATCACAAAAAGAGTGTACTCAAATCAAATCGCGCACTACAACGGTTTTGTCATTGAGCGTTGGCATTGCCAATTGAAAACGCCTTCAAAAGCGCTTGATACTGTGCAACACACAGGAGTTGAAATAGTTGTATTGCACGAATAGAACCCAACTTACAGTGTTTTGATCACAAGTTTCTTCTTCGAAATTCCACATACAGCTATGTATCTAGCGCATTGAACTAAAAAAAATGGCACAAATTAATGCTGTGCCAAAAATGAAGCGCTTGTTGCAAAAAGAGGATTTCTTGGTTGCGGTGCCTCCGAATCTTAGCTTAAGTTATATCAAATAAAACAAAGGCAAATGTATGGCATTCGTTGAAACTGTAACTGAATTTTCTTTATGATTTTACAATGCTGGAAACGAAAAATGTAGAAAATTCACCCGATATAGTTTCCTCTCCAAAATATTAATTAGCAGTGGAGATCCTGACACACCGCAACCAAAAAATGCCGCCTCTGCGCCCAACGCCTCAAATGTGCGACCAGCTCTGTGAAAAGAGGACTTGCCTTCATACGGAGGAAATTTTTTTCTTGAATTTGTTGAAAATACACGGAGTAAGAAAATCTGGAGATTCTGGCTCAAATTTGGATGTATTTATGCTAAATATGTAGCTATGTGCGAGTGGAAAGATGGAATGTTCTCATTAGTTGAGGGCTATTAGAATGAATGGGAATTTTAAAGCGCCAGTGACGTCAGCGGCAACGAAGCCATCCCCGATGTCGTCCTCGTTCGGCTTCAACTCATGAGCCCTGTCCACAACGCTTTTGTCACATGCCCACGGCTCGCGAGTTAGCGCTCAGATCTTTTTGATTTCATCTCAAATCCCGCTTTTCAATTGTCCATACCACTACTACCACTACACCACTACTACTATCTACTACTACTACCACTACTACACTATATCCACTTCTACATTGTTTCTTATCCAGCCTCCACGAGTTCATTCCATCCCTCCTCTTGCACACAGTTCCTTTTAACATACATACGTCTAGAGTCCCTTTATACTGAGAGTCGACCCTCATGGAGTCACAAACGGGAATAAAGATTACACAAATTGAACGTTTTTCGTAATCTTTGATCGGCCCATTCTCAAATTCCCTTCTCCGTCCCTTTTCTCATTCCGTTTGTTCCTCGCCGAACCCGTTATTCCCTGGTCCATTCCAGATTAAAATCTTTGCGATCGGTGAGAATGTAATCTTTATTCCCGTTTGTGACACTGTGAAGGCCTAAAATCCGGTTAAGCAATCAGAAATGGATTCGCATTGTCTTGACTCTCAGTATAAAGGGACTCTAGACTCGTTGGGAACTTGGCAACCAGTCCGGTAGCCGAGTTCGGGGGAAGTTTATAAGCGGGAAGATTAATTATGCGAACGGGAACCAGGACCGGGGACCGAAAACGGGGAACGGGAAAGGGGTCGGATAACTTTGCCACCCGAGTCTTTTTTCCACGGCGGACGGATCCGTGATTAATCCCATATCGGGAGTGGGACCGGGGGACCCACCCGAATGATTGATAAGATTTTAACAGCGCCGTCTGCCGGCAACGTTTGCAGGTAATTAGCCGACAAAAGATGCCAGCCGAGCGAGTGTCGGCTCATTTTCGCCGCGTGTTCCTAACAGCCTTCCGTGACACGCCATCATGCATACGAACCACTTGTTGAGAGCACCTCTCGACACATCCTCACGGTGTCGACTTAACTCTACCTTCGCGGAGGCTCAACGCTCCAGACTAGAGTCCCTTTATACTGAGAGTCAAGACAACACCCCTCATGGAGTCACAAACGGGAATATAGATTACAGAAATTGAACGTTTTTTGTAATCTTTGATCGGCCCATTCTCAAATGCCTTTCTCCGCTCCTCCTCTCATTCCGTTTGTTCCTTGCCGAACCCGTAATTCCCTGGTCCATTCCAGATTATAATCTTTGCAATCGGTGAAAGTGTAATCTTTATTCCCGTTTGTGACACTGTGAACGCCTAAAATACGGGAACCAATCAGAAATGGATTCACATTGTCTTGACTCTCAGTATAAAGGGACTCTACTGCAGACGGGCTACTCTCCCATGTTAAGAAAAAACGTCGTATGAGCCTTCAGACGCTGCCGAATTTTCCTCGACAATTACACATTTTCAGGAATTTCTTTAAGTACTTTCCTTTCGATTTTTCAGAGAAACTTCTTCGTAATGCGATCTGAAATATCTGAAAATTTAAGGGAAAAATAGTCATGACTTTCTTCAAAACGCATGATTTCCGAGAGAGAATTTGGCAACATTCAAATGCTCATACAACGTTTTTCCTTAGCAAGGTAGTACTACGAAGAGGAGTTTTCAGGTCAATGAGACGGCGACAATATGTTTTAAATCACAAGGATGGCTGTCTGTCCATTTCACCGAATTAGGACCGAGGACATGCTCCATACATCCATGCTCTACGCCTTTTAAATGGATCAGTGGACGAAGTACCTTTTCTTCAATTCTGATTAATCACAGTTCATCGTCGGAAGCTCATTTTATCCGTGCGAAACTTATTGAATTTGCAACCTCTATTGAGTAAGTTGTGATCTTGTAAACGGCGACTCTCAGTCTTGCACGAGAATACGATGATCAAAGCAAGACTACATAAAACCACAATCTCAACCGAGTTCTTGGACTTTCTTTTTTGAAGAAAGACTTACAGAAAGAAAAAAAAATCTTGGAACGTGCAAAAATGTTCTTCGGGCATTGTTCAAAATTACGGCTCGATTGAAGACTCCAAAAGTCTGAACATTTCTGGTCAACATCGTTGTACAGGGCCACTCAGATACGATACAGAGGAGCGCCTTCAACCCACTATGTAATCTAAATGCAAAATTCTGATACCACTATTCGTGCGTCGCGACAGTCATTTTGCATACCCGACAAATTGAAGGCAAATCATTGACCCAGGCAACAGGATACGAATTTCAGCAATGTGATACGTGTTTTTTAGAGGACAAAACCTCGGAAGGGTGCCCCACCTGGCATTCAATAAGCCCAGCCTTAGGGGGTGCTCCACCTGACATCCAAGAAACTCAACCCCCAGGGGCTGCCCCCCTTGGCATCCAAGAAGAACGCCACTCAAGTCAATCGATGTATTTCTAGTAAAAAGTGAACCAACTATGATTCATGCGGCATTTTTAAACTCGATGGCTCATGACGGAATCGCGGGCTGCGAGCATTTTTCCGGATTTATTAAGTTTATTGAATTTATTAATTAAATTAACGAGGAAACTTACCTTGAGCACGTAAATTTCACCAGAAGTTCTGTTGATGTCAAACTTGCTGTTTGCCGAGTTATCTGGGTCGATACCTTGCCCAGTCAAGAAGTAAACGATGTTCTGTGGCCTGTCCTTATCTCCGTCGGTAGCATTGACCTAAATTTTAAAATCAAAATATTTCAAATTAAAAAGAAGGAAACGAGAAAAAACCGAAAGGAGGGAAAATATTTTTTTTTCTTTTAAAATAATTCTTCATACTTTTTACATTTTACTTAAAGATTAAAAGCGTCAGAGTTGCTGTCCTCCTATGGAACATTTCATACCCTTATTTTTAAATGTTGGTCTTTTGTTACTAATATGTGTGATTCAGTTTCATGAGAGATCTGCATTTTTCTTGAAAATAAGATTAGGTGGAAGTTTCATAGGAGTAAACGAATGGCCGGTAAAGTGAATTTAGTTTTACGACGGACTTAGAAATTGAACGTCTGTCATAGACCTCTCTCTTGATGTTGCAAATGCTTGGGCTCTCAAAATTTCCTCGCTTTTGCCTGCATTTGTACGCTTCAAATCCTTTCTGAGCCCAAATCGAGAATATGTGTATTCGAAATGTAAGAATGCGGTAGTGGTATTATTCTGATATTTTGAGGCACGATTCAATTCATGTACTTAAAAAAATACAAAAAAGTGACTAGAACTACTGGAGAAAGATAAAAGGGATGAGAAATTGGTAGGTATGAGGAGGAAAAGGATAGGACTGTGAGATATCAAGGGGAAACGAGGAATAATAACTGGTAACTGACATGCATGATGATTGACATCAAGAGAACAATTATACATACTAATAAAAGCATACAGTCCTCACCAGCAGTATGCAGCAAGCAAAAAAACAAAGCAAAGCGAGGCTGTTTATGGTAAAGGAGCTGAACTTGAGAGATTCCATGCAAATCATAAAAACATTTTTAAAGAAAAAGACAAAAAGAGACATATGAAGACATCCACCGAATCAATGAAGCTACCAATCGATAACAGAGTTTCTGGAGGAACAAACTCGTGCTATTTCATTCATTCAAGAAAAGGCAGCTGCAAGTAAAACTTTAATGAGGCATAGTGAATGTCTTGCAAGCAGTCAAGAGGGTGACAAAAGGGTATCTGTTGGACTGCATTTTTCAATGTGAACTAAAATTTCTGGCTCGGTTGAGAAACAACGTATGCATCATTAGTTTCCCTCTACACAAATGTGCTTTTACTGATGAGCCAAATATCGTAGTTCCTTATTAAAAAATGCAGTCCAGTTTTCAATTGGTACTCAATCAGGAGATAGATTTTTGTAACGTCTAAAAGTCTGTACAGCGAATTGTCGGATCCAGGGAGGGGGCAATTTCGTATTCTGCATTAAATCTGTGGAAATAAATCGATTCTCAGATGGGTTAAGGGCTCCGGTATGAATCGATTATTCAACACAGGTTTAAATGGAGAAATACCATTGTTGTCAACCTACAGTATCCGCCTCTGTCACAGCCTTGTTCCTGAAGGCGGCAAAGGAGGATCCTGTTACAAGAAATTGACTTTATTCTGCGATTGGAACTACTGATACCCTACTTTGCTTTGGAAACAGCGTATGTACCATTAGTTTCCCTATGCGCATGAAAGTTTTTACAGAATTTTAGTTCCTAACTGCTAATTGTACTCCAAACGTACCACGATCATTGGCGTCAGAAACTCGGTGCATTCGGCCGATGGCATCCCTTCGCAAGGTTACCAGATTGTGTGAAAAAACCTGGGTATTTTACATTAAGCTGCACGGGGGAAATGTGTTTTTTCAGCACAATCTGGCAACAGTGACCCTTTGAAAAGCCACGCGCTACTCCGAGTTTCCGCCGAATTAATTAAATTTGAGGCTGCGAAAAACTGTTTGCGTTCGTTAGCACTGGCTCGGTCAACAAAAGACGATCGCTTGATGGGGCTTCTCAAGAAAATGAAATCGACTCGCAAAGCTCCAAGCCAACAATGCTTAAAGAAGGGACGCCGTGTGAGCATTCAAAAGCTGCCGAATTTCTTCCGATATAAAATACTCGTTTGAGGGAGGAGGATTATCGTGAGCAAATTGAATATTTCAAAAGGATTATCAAAAACGGCATATTAAATTGTAGGGACATGCAATTCACTGCAACATTCAAATAAAAATTTGCCACCTCAGTAACAGTAAATGGTTGAAAAAATTAAATCTCTCGCAAATTTCAATGTTTATATTACATATTTATATGCTAAAAGTAACTATGTGGATAGTTTTGGCGGGACATAGTTCCGTTTAAATAAACACGTCCTCATAGTCTCGATACATTTATCGTTCAGCTGCATTGCACACTACCTCTGCTTTCCATGGGAAATAACGCGAGTTTGTGCCTTTAAAAACGCTGTTGGCAAGTTTCATAAAATCAACTGCACTCGCGCACCGCCAGTTTCTCCTCATTAAAACCACCCGCGCTGGCAGGATTTAAAAACAATGGGGGGTAAAAACCGAGAAAACTTTCGCGGATGAAGGTAAAAACAATAATAATAATAACGTCCCCACGATAATTAGCAGAGAAAATAAAAAAGGAAAAACAGTAAAGCATGCAGAATCAAAGGCACAACAGTAACAAGGGCGAATAAAAAAATATGAACGGAACTATAATGCGGAAAAAAATAGTCTTGTTAGGAAAAAAAAGCTTTCGAAAGCTTCAATGTAATTTATGATGCTTGTTTCTCGACCGAGTTAATCGGATTAATAGCCGACAGCAAGAACAGGGTGGGGAGGGCGACCCCCCCCCCCTCACCCGATGAGGAAGGTACGAGCTCACTGCTGTACTACGGAAACCAGCAGTACGTACAATTGAAAGTGAACCTCAAAGCGCGAAAGGATCCATACTAACCGCGGATCACGCTGAGACACACGTACTGCTGTTTTCCGTAGGGCGACAGCTGTCCCAGCTTGTAAATCCATGTAAAGCGCGCTGGATTAGCTTCTCCATGATTCCGACTGCCATCCTAAGGCCCAACAACGCATGTGCACTCAGATATTGTCGAATTTCGCTCTGATAAAGTAACAATTGGACGTATTTATGCTAAAAGGAGATATGTGCAAGTGGAAAGATGGGGTGTGCTCGTTAGTTGGGTCATAAGAAACAATGTAAAAGTGGATATAGCTCCTTTTGAGAAAATTGAAAAGCGGGATTTGACATTAAATCAAAAGGAGCTAAGCGGCAAAATATGCTAACTCATGAGCCGCGGGCATGGCAAGAGAGCGTTGTGGACAGGGCTCACGAGTTACAGCGCCCCGACGACCATCTCCCCGCCGTTAGAGTGCGCACTCACTGCCGCTGACGTCACTGGCGCTTTATATTCCCCATTCATTCTTATGGCCCGACCACTAACGAGCACACCCCATCTTTCCACTTCCACATATCTCCTTTTCGCACAAATACGTCCAATTTTCCCGAAGACTTGTGGATTTGGTAGAGAATTTCACTCACACGATAATCCAGTGCTGTGTTCGAAAACTTCAAGGAAAATTTTTATTTTCAAAAATGTATTTTATCGAAGGCAACTCGGCAACATTCAAGTGCACATACGGCGTTTTGCCTCAGGATGAGCGGACTAACGCCACCGCCGCCGGAGCTGTAAATGCGACGGGAAAAGCGGCAGGAAAAGCGGCAGGAAAAGCTTCAGAGAGATTTCCATCTCTTCCACTGCACGCGTGGTAGAATATGCACTCAACTGGAGCTTACGCTAGAGAGTTTTGCAGCCCTCTTCCTCGAGAAAAGTTTTAATTTTTTCTTGTGCAGGGAATCGCTACCCGAAAGACTTACGCTGCAGTATTGAGGGGAAAAGCCGTACGGACATACGAACTTCTGGAATTTCCTCCAATGATTGTAGCGATTTTGAGAAAAGTGAATTTTTCAAATAATTTCGCTCAGATTTATGCCGACGGTGTATCTGCAAATGCCGATGAAAAACACTCTTACGTTTCCAGAGATGAAATATTCGGTCCGAAACAAATTGGCGACTCGAAAGAAATTATACGGCGTTCTCGCTCCTGTCGGCCGGATGCAATCTAAATTAACGCTGACAAAAGAGGACATGGATTTGATCCACCAAGAAGATATTCACTTGAAGCGAGAATGAATTCGCTTGGATAACGTAGGTTTCTGCTTGATATAGGTAGCTTTTTTCTTGAAATAAGCATCTTTCCTCCTTGATTCAAAAAGAACTGTTTTTCTAAGCAACAAATTTAAGAATATTTCTGTTTGAATCAAGTTACTCTTTTCCTGTGGAAGATTTAAAGGAATGGTGAAGACGATTTGTCCATTTATTTTGAGTCATTTCCAAGTCCCTAAAATTAAACTTCTTTTACGCATAGAATGGAAATTGTCTACAGTTATGAAACATGGAAACAACACATACAGATGTACAAACATGCAAATAAGAATACTACGATGGAGACGGGGAAAAAACCGAGGTACAGTGCCAGCACTGTCCCATGTTGACGGGCGCTGGGTTGAATTTAGGCTTTTCTCAGAGTACTTAGCCTTCAATTGCGCTCCTTCGAAATGTTCCTGATACCAACCATCACCATCACCTTCACCAGACGAGAGAACCGGCTTCGAGTTGGGCAGGCCGAAGTTAACAATTAAGTCTCTTGAATCAATTCATCCATAACACTGAGCAATGCGGACGAGGAAGAGAGAGAGAAAAAAATAAAAAACGCTCAGAAATCAAAAGGCAATCTCATCCCCTAAATGCCCTTTCACACACTAAAAATTGATGACATCCGAAGAGTCTACAGACACCTATTTAGCAATGCCATGTTCAGGATGTGATATATTTTTTGCAAACTGATGTCAGTATCTGATTCGTCATTAGCGTAGACCTCGCAGAAAAGCTGGTATCTTTGCAAAAACAGCCCCGAGTGGCCCTTCTTCCCCCTAATTCACAAGCAAGACAAAAAAAATTAAGCCATAGTTGTGGCATTATTTTTACTGAGCGTTTTGCTTCTGATAAATGGCCCATGGTAATGCATGGCGCAAGTCAAGTTACTTTATATTTTCATTTTGTTACGCATGCAGATTTGTATTTTGCTCTACAAAGATCCGAGTCTAATCACTCATTATCTTAAC